CATTTAATTTTACTTTGGAAAAACAAAACCTATCTTGAAAATGTTAAAAACATGCATTTTTTTAATTTTCATATAATAAATATATAAGACATTTTTCACATGTTTTCATATTTTTCATTCTTTTCCATAATCTATATATATAAAGCAAAAGACAGAGAATTGTAAAGCATTCAAAATATCAGAAAATGTCCTTGGTTAATGCAAACATTAAGAATTGAAATTATTAATTAAATGAGGATACTACGGTAAATTCACACTTTTTCATATTAAAAAAATTGAAATTAAAAGAAAAATCAGATAATGAATCCTATTTTTATGGAGCACAACTACCCATTATCTTTTTTAATTTTAAAAAAAAATTATTTATTTTTTTAAAAAAAGTAGTAAATAAGACTTTTCAAATTGCCACTTAGGTCAACAAACTTCAATTTAACGAGTTTTATTTGCTACTACGGTTAACATAATATAGTGTACAAATTGTAATAATTGACTTCAAAATGAAGAACATTATTAGGATTTCTTTCAATTCCAGTTTTATTTTTATCCAGCTTGCCCCACTTTTCATGTAACTTTCATCCCTCTTCTGACCTGACACTCACATAAAGTGTGAGCAATTTGTTCTGTGAAACTTTATGCTTCCACGGATCTCCCTTCAAAGTCTGGACATCCGGATTGTTCTTGAAAACCTGTTCACTTGAAAAGGGAAGAAATCCTAGGGCAGTGTTTCCTAATCGTCAGATTAATCTAACGGCTAGAGATACAAAACTGTACAAATAAAAAAAAAATTAAATAAAAACCGCAGTGATTAACTGTACATAGAAAATATGAACAGGCGTCAGTGGTGGAGCATAGAAAATTGCTTCCACCAAATCCAATAAACATGCCTTTTTATTCATCTCTCTCTCTCTCTCTCTCTCTCTCTCTCACTCGCTCGCTCTGTATATCAGTTTACCTCTCCGGGTAATTTTTTTAATCTGCAAAAAGAGCTCTCCATCTTTTTGTTCTTCTCCTTTGGCATTTTCCCATTTCCCCAAAGCAACCAGAGGTTAGACAGAGAGTCTGAGAAATTAAGAGGTGCTCTGAGTCAGTTGAAAATTACCCAGAAAAAAGAGTGAGGTAAAAACCACATTTACTTTGTAAAAGCTTTCTTCTTTATCTAGCTTATTTTTTCTTCTAGGTACTTGTTGTAGAAAAACGAAGGGAAGAGACAAAGGGTGTGAATAGTTTAGTGATGCCGCCAAAAAATTCTCGAATGGCTGATGCCTGTAGGGCAATGAAGCCTTTTGGCATTTCCGAAGGTCAGACAAAAGCAGCGGTCAAAGAGCTTCTGAAAGTCTATGCAAACAGCTGGGAGTTTATTATTGATGAAAATTACAGACTTTTGCTGGACTTTGTTCTGGACCACAAGCCAGAGGAAAAGGTATTTGTTTTTTACCTTCTTTTTTTCTGCTTCAAATTTTAATAAGATTTTGCTTTTTAATTTTTTATTAATTAATTTAATGTTTTGTTTATGCAATGCTTTTCAAGATTTTGTTTTTATTTATTTTTCATCTATTATATATGTCATGGAAGAGAAATATTGGAATATCTATTTAAATAGTTTTTTTATTTTGTTATACTTACTGGGCATCCTTCTTTTCCCTTTAAAATGGAAAAGGAGCTTTTATACATGAATCAAAGGTGAGCATTTCTTGCTGTATTATGTATAATAATATTCTCTATGCCCTATATTTCTGTTTACCATTGTTACAAATTATGGAGCTCTCATCAACCATGCAGAGAGCATAATGGTTTTTTTATATGATAAAACTGAAGTTTAAGTGTTTTAGCATTTCATATATTTTCGTGCCAGGGAGTGAGATCGAAGAAAAAAGAAGCTCCATCTTATGATAAAACTAAAGTTGTTGAACTTCCAACCAAGAGATATTGCACAAGGCAACAGAGGCAACAGAAAAAACAGGCATTGTCTCCTTTGGAACACTCCACATCTTGCCTTGAAAAGTCTCCATTAAAAAGGGCACGTCAGAGTAATGAGGATAATCTGTTTTCTGATTCGGAAGAATCTGAAGACTCTCAA